GGGCATGTGGCAACAAAATGGGCATCTGGTCTACTACCAGGAAGAGAAAGGGCTAGCTAAAAGCCACATTTCACCTGCATGCAGCCTACTTATGTTACAAACCCTCACTTGTACCTGACAACTCTAAAATAAAAATTAAAATTAAAAAACTGTATTAACTTCAAAAAAGAAATGCAAAATCTTAGGCTGCCCCTCAGGCCCAATGAACACAAACCTGCATTTTAGCAAGATGCCCAGTGATTCCTATGCACATTGAGAAACACCACTATATTTAACATTTATTACATATTTTTATTTCCTAGGATACTATCAATTAGTAAAGAAAAACATCTACTGGCTCCACCTACCTGTAAGGCACTCTGCAAAGCAGAGTAGGAGGTAAAGATAGATAAGAAAATGATTCCAGCTAGCATGTATTGGATACTAACTCTCTAACAAGGAGCTTTACTAAGTGACTTTCATACATGAATTGAGTGCTCTCAACAGCCCAATGAAGGATTATATTATTCCCATACACAGAAGAGGAAGTTAAGAATAAGAAAGGTTGGGCAAGGTTGGGCAACCCCCTGGGGTTGTGGGAGCTTTTCTGTCCTCTTAATAAATCCTGCCTTAAAAAAAAAAAAAGAAGAAGAAAGGTTAAAAGTAATTTGTCCTCTTTGACACAGTTAACCTGACGTGAAGCTAGTACTTGGAATCAGGTAAGTCACTCATGGAAGTTCACATGATAGCTTTCTCAAAGCTTGGAGCTCATGCTATGATGGACATTAAGGCACAAAAAAATTTGTTAACAATTATAAATTCAATAAAAATTTGGGGAAAAATTGAAGATTTTATTAAACTTGACATGCCATGTATAAAGAGAAAAGGTACAAGAATTATTTCTTTTTAAGTTTCTGGGGGAAAAAGTACAACAATATACTACTAGATCAAAAAGCGCTATCAACCTGTAGTATTTAACTCAAGGGGATCCTGGAATAAGAAAAGACAAAAAAGATAAATGAAACAGAACAGAATTTTGAATCAGATCCTTATATAAATTGGAATTTATTTTATGATAAGAACAATTTCAAATGAGTGAGAAAGAAATGGACTATTAAATAAGCGGTGTTGCATTAACAATCTAAAACTTTAGGAAAAAAATTAAGTTACAACCTTACCTTTCACCTTGTATCTGTCAAGTGAAAAAATGGGCACACCCTTTGACTCAAGTATACTTCTCCCGGAATACTATTCCACAGAAATACTTACACTAGAGGACAATGATGAATGTGCAAACTTTTCCCCAAGCAACGTTGCTAATGCTGAATAATTTTAAACAACTGAAATGTCCATCAATAAGGGAAAGGATGGATAAATGATATTATATTTCAACTTTAGAATAACATGTAGCCATTAACAAAAGAGGTATGTGCAGACATGGAAAGATCTTTAAGACTTAGAGGTGAAAAAGCAAGCTGCACAATAGTAAGTATAGTAAGACCTTATTTACATATTTAAAACATATGTATATATACCTATTGTGCAAATGTATAGAAAGAAAGAAAAATATTAGAATGGTATTTACCAAGCTTAACCTTCCCTCTTAGTGGGAGTAGGATGATACTTCTCCCTTTCATTTCATACTCTTCTATATTGTTTGAATGAGATTGTATTTAGCTATTACTTGTAGTATTTTTAAGACATAAAAACTAGACACACTTAGGTCAGGCACAGTGGCACATGCCTGTAGTCCCAGCTACTCAGGAGGCTGAGGCAGGAGGATCACTTGAGGCCAGGAGTTCAAGACCAGCTGGGCAACACAGCAAGACCTTGTCTCTTAAAAAAATGTTTTAAAATTAGCCAAGCATGGTGGCAAGTTTCTGTAGCTCCAGCTACTCCGGAGGCTGAGGCAGGAGGATTGCTTGAGTCCAGGAGCTAGAGACCAGCCTGAGCCATATAGTGAGTCTCCCACCTCTACAAAAAAATAAAAATAAAAAATCAACCGAGCATGGTGGCATGTGCCTGTAGTTCCATCTACCTCAGGAGACTGAGGTGGGAGGATCACTGGAGTCCAGGAGTTCAAGGGTGCCGTGAGCTACTATTGTGCCTGTACACTCCAACCTGGGTGTGTGTTATTAAAATAAAACACAACCTGAAGTAAATAACTGCAGAAGAGCCAGGAGAACTAAAATGAGGAGGGAAGGAAGCTGTGAAGCCAAGGACCCAGCTATTGGAAAAGAAACTCTCTTCGTGTAGCCACAAGGAAGCCTGCTTGGAGGAGGGGGTTTCTCCAGCAAGACTGTGACATTTTATCTGTTTTGTTTTCCATTCAGACACTTTTTTTTTTTTTTTTAAAGTTGGAGTCTCACTCCTTCGCCCAGGCTGGAGTGCAGTGGCATGCACACTCACGGTCACCCCAGCATCGACCCGCTGGGTTCTGGCGATCCATCCCCCTTAGCCTTTCAAGTAGCCAGAACTACAGGCGGGTGCTACCACGCCTGGCTATTTTTTATTTTATTATAGAGACGAAGTCTAGCCAAGTTGCCCAGGCTGGTCGCGAACCTGTGGGCTCAGACAATCCACTTGCCTCGGTCTCCCAAAGTGCTGGCATTACAGGCTGAGCCACCAAGTCCGGCCAGACATTTTTTAAAAATCAAGGATTTCCTTCCCCAGGGAAAGGAGGGTCGAGGCTAACTGTTCCTGTAAGTGAGTGAGCTGATACCACTTCTTTCTACTGCAGCCAAGAAATGCCCCAGCTTAGTTCCCACAAGGGAAACACACCCCTTCCTCTTGTCAAATACAGTACCTCTGATTCCTTTTCCAAAACCATAGTAATTTCCCTGACTTGGTTCCTTTCTCACGGCAAAGGGATTATGTAATAACAACATTCACCATCTGGGAACACCTGTATACACCTCATACATATTTCTGGTCTGTTCAGGTTAAGAGAAAAACACCCAGTGTTTAAGCACTCTCCACAATGTGTCCCTGATGAATACCCAAAACTAGCACACCTTTCCCTCAAAGCTGCCTTTGATACAAAAGGCTTAGACATATTTACTGGGACCACAGAAGGCAGAACTGAGGCCATGATGTAAGTCACAAGGAGGTGAGATGCAGTTGCAAATTAGCTCTGTCCAGCAATAAAATGTTAGATGGTGAGCTTCCTGCCACTAGAGGCATTCTAATAGTACCAAATGCTACCAGGGGATGCCGGACTGAGCACTCCCTGAAGTTTAGCACTCCAAAGCCAAATCCTGACACTGCCATCTGATACCTGTGTGACCACAGACAAGTTACTAAACCTCTCTGGGCCTCCGTTTCCTCATTGATAAAATAAGAATGCAAAAAGAGTACCTGACTCACTGGTGAAGCTCACGTGAGCTAACATATACAACGTAGTTAGCACAGTGCCTCATCCTGCGTAAGGATGAGGATATCCTTTGCAGATAAGGAAACAGACTGGGAGGCCATACACAATTTGACCCCAGTTGCAAAGTCAGTTTCAGACTCGGGACTAAGACCCCCGATTTCTTTTTCCCCCACCAGAATTCCTTCTAGAACAGATTTAACATCCCGCACTCAATTATATCCGCTCCGCCTACATAGACCCCCACATTTATTTCTCTTGAGTTGGAGAACAGCTTTGTGCATAAAGTGTTTCCGAGGCTAATCTGTTACCAAGTCCCTCCCTCACCCGCACCGGTGCCCCCTCCCATGCATGCACGCACCGGTGAGGGGAAGGAATCGTGGTGTACGGGGAGTGGGGGGGGGGGGGAAAACAGGGTAAGATGGTCCTGCAGCTATCCAAAGAGCCTTCCGCCCGTCTGCTGAAGCATGTAGTGAGGTGTTACCTTCGACTCTCAGATAATCCCAGGTAAACATTTACAGGATTTATAGGATTTAGGAGGAAATACTCTGCTGGATGGCATAGCTCATATATCATTAGGACAGGGAAGGGATATAACTATATTTAACTTGTCTAGAATAGAACTTAATTCCTTTTAAAATAGCAAATGCTGAATTTAAAAATCCATGAGGTTGTGTCTTCTTACTGTAACTCTCTATCCTCCTCTGACATCGCAGAGAGTCTAGACAATTT